TGTATACTGTGAAAAATTCTCAAGGATATCCTTATTTGTTAGGATGATGTCCATATATGACCACTTCTATTTTGGATTCAACTTTGGAGGCTAAGGCAAAGTGCATCATAGTCAAGTCAGCTTTATTGTCCCTTTATTCACATGCCAGACATGCAGATGAATCAAAATTACGTTTCTCACTGCCCCATGTGTGAACAAAGACAGGACAAACAATAAAGTACAGGACAAGACAGCCTGAAGTACTGTAAGGTATTGTATTCTATTCTATCCTATCACAAGTGTAACAAGTAACATTATTGTAATTATACCTAAACATCATAGTAAATGAATAAAGCTCAACAAAATTAAAGTGTGCAGTACATTGTAGTCAGATCAGATCAGTAGCATAAAAAAGAGTTCAGCAGGCACTGAAAAATTTTCGGCATTGACTACAACCCTTCTGGGGCTAAGTCCCCCCTATCCCTCAATCCTAGTGACGCCCCTGCATATATATTTATAATGTCCAGGTGTTCATTATATAAACCTATATTTAAGTAAAACAAAACGGAAAAAATAGGAACACCTGACAACCACCGTTGCCATGGAAACCTAAGCGACATGTGGCAACTCTTAGTATTGGTGCGTATGCGCGTCACAATCGGGCAAGTGGGCAGGAGTCACGGGCATTCCTCCTCACTCACACACGACTCAGATTTGGAAGAAAACCACCAGAGCAGCGGGCGGAAAATTGAAGAAACAAATGCTGCTGACCGGCGACCTGCAGCCGCATCGCTGTCTTTGTACGTCCTCCTAGCTCTGCTTCTCATACAATTAATGGAAAAATATGTTTAAGTGAGTAACGAACTTTGAAATCATTGAAAGCAAACCGGCAAAAGAAACGTGAGAACAATACTCATTTTTTATATCAGTGAATTAGCCAATGACTTTATTAAATTATGAATATTACTCTCCCGTGTCTAAGATCACTTTACACACTTAAATGAGAATCTCCACTATGGGAAAATGAAAGTGATAGTTACATCATTGAAGTTAAATTAATTTAATTAACTTTTATAAGAAAAAAAAATGCCAGACCTTGTCAATTATGAACCGAGTATAAAATTAAATATATAAGAAAATAAATGAATTAAGACTTGATAAAGAACAGACATTGATAAGGATATGACATACATATTGTAACGAGCACAAGGGATGTGAACTTAGAATGACCCAAAATTCGTCTAGAAACCACCCTGTGTATACCTCACTTACTCTTTATGCATATGTATTATTTAGGTATACCTCAGTTTTTAGCTTTAACCATGTGAGAAAAAGGTACTTAATTATTTTTCTAGAAAGATGATATTTTATTTTAATAGTTTTACATGAAATTGTATATATTTCAATATTATATTTTTCTAAGATGAGAAAATTGTAAAATATGATTGTTTACCCTACAAAGAATAAGCTTTTTTGTTACTCCCACCATACATTCTTTATTTAAAGGGTACGCTATTATATTTCAATAGTATTATTATATTAAGGTTGTATAATTGATATTTTTGTAAAGAAAACAATATATATTATTTTTGTTAATGGAAAGATTCATTTAAGTTCTGAAAATTATGCAAGTATACATTAAGAAGAACTGTATAAGTGCTCTGAGTAGACTTTAAAATTCAAAGTATATACAGTGCTAAATCCTGAAACTAAAGCTATAATCATAGAGAGAGAGAGAGAGAGATCAGAGAGGAGTGCCATACAACAACCTGAAAGAGTATTTCATTATCGTGAATATCTGAGGTAAGAAAGAACATTCCACTATAATTATATAATTAATAAAGTCATGAACTACTGTACAATTGATTTACAGAAGAAAAGTAAGTAACTATTTGAGATTAAACTGAAAATTAGAGATAAAGAGTATGTCTTCTTCACAGCTCGAGGCTGGCACATGGCACAGGGCACTTGAACAACATCCGATGTGTCTCTCTTATTATTAAGAATTTAAAACCTATTTAAAGAGTAAGTGTTCTTAGCATTTATAATTGTAAAATATTATAATATTTAATCAAATTTTACTGTAATATATTACTCAGATCGTATATAATGACAAATATTATATGTAATTTGTTTGTTTGTAAGAAACATTGTTTTTCATCTTTCAAGAAATTATTTACTTATATTTAATAACTTTAAATTGTTTATCATTCCTAAACTAGAATAATTATTTCTTTTCTAGGAATGGGTTTTATTTTATTTTTTTATGGTTTATTTGGTTCTGCTGAAGTTGTGATTTATTCGTCCCTGGTGCTGTGAACAAGAGTGAAAGGGCCCAGGATATTGATGAAGACCAGGAAAGAAGATACCTGAGAAGAACAAGTAGTGTAAAAGTGACAGGTTGGAATACAAATATTTGGACATTTTTGTAGATGAAAATTTATTTTACTGTAGAAGTGTAATGATCTTTGACTCAATATATCATCAATTGTAAGCTCATTGAGTGGTTTTATATTACCCCTTCTCTCAGTTACCTCTAAGGCTGAAGATAGATCATAAGTAACCGTTATGAATATATATATTTTTAGTGTGGGTTCTAAAGAAAACTTTTGGAGAAACCACACATTAGATTAACAGATAGTGCCTCTCTGGATAAAGTCTTAGTGGTTCCCAGAGCAAAGAGAATAGGGTCTTTGCTAAGGAGCATAGAAAAGGGTGGGCGCTTTAGCAGAGGAGGTGCTAGGAAAAACATCTGGGAAAGGAATGCCTCAAGGAAAAGATACATAGTGGTGGAGTGAGGAAGTTCAAGTTAAGATCAAAGAAAAGAAGGAGGCGAGAAAATCAGGTAGAGAGGAAGATCGAGCAGCAGCAAAATCAGCCAATAAAGAGGCAAAGAAAGCAGTAGCACAAGCCAAAGTAAGAGTAATGGGCGAAATCTATGAAGAGTTGGAAACAACAGAATGATATATTTGTTAGCAAAGAGGAGAAATAGAGCGACAAAAGATTTCACACAGATAAAACAGGTAAAGGATCGAGAAGGAAGACTACTCAGATGAGAATGAAATTAGGAATAGATGGAAGGTCTACTTTGAAAAGCTACTAAATGAGGAGAATGAGAGGAGAGTTTTTGGAGAAGGTACATCAAATGAGAGAGAAACGCCAGAAATAGAAAGACAAGAAGTAAGGGAGGCCTTGAAGAAAATGAAAAATGCAAAAGCTACTGGACCCGATGAAGTACCAGCAGAAGCGTGGAAAAGTTTGGGCGATGATTGAGTGGATCTCTTGTGGGATCTTTTCAGGAGGATCTATGATCAAGGAAAGATGCCCAATGCATGGAGGGAGAGTGTGATCATACCAATATATAAAGAAAAGGGGGACATACAAGATTGCGGGAACTATCGAGGAATCAAACTGATGTCACATACAATGAAAATATGGGAAAGAATCATAGAAAGGAGGATTAGAAATGAAACTCAGATAGATGACCAACAGTTTGGGTTCATGCCTGGAAGAGGGACAACGGGTGCCATCTTTGCTGTTAGGCAAATGATGGAGAAATATGGGGAAAAAACAGAGAAAGTTCCATATGGTATTTATAGACTTTGAAAAAGCGTATGATAGGGTGCCAAGAGGAGAAGTATGGAGGTGTTTGAAGGAAAGGAATGTGTCTGAAAAGTATGTCAGATTAGTGCAGGATATGTATGAGGGGGCAACAACGCAAGCAAGGTCGAGCGCTGGACTGACAGAAAAATTCTCTGTCCCAGTTGGACTCCATCAAGGGTCTTCTCTGAGTCCGTACATCTTTGACCTGATAATGGAAGTTTTGGGCCAAAACATCATCACACCAGCCCCTTCGGATATGTTGTTTGCGGACGACATAGTCCTAATCGATACCACCAGAGAAAGGGTAGAAAGAAAACTAGAAGCGTGGAGAAAATAAATGGAGGATAGAGGGCTAAAGATCAGCCGTAAGAAAACAGAATACATGGTTTTCAATGGAGAAGAGGAAATTGGAGAAATTATGTTATTGGGGTAAAAGGTGAAAAAGGTCAATAACTTTAAATACCTTGGTTCGCATTTAACATCAGACGGAAATTTCGATGTCGAAATATACCATAGGATAAAATCTGGGTGGAATAATTGTAAAAACGTGTCTGGAGTGCTATGCGACAAGAAGATCAGCGCAAATTTCATAAAACGGTAGTAAGACCTGCAATGATCTATGGTGCGGAAGCGTGGCCTATTTAAAAGTCACAGAAGAAACTGGACGTAGCCGAAATGAAGATGTTGAGGTGGATGTGCGGAGTAACAAAACTTGATAAGATCAGGAATGAAAGAATTAGAGGGACAACTAAGGTGGTAGAAGCTTCAAAGAAAGTGCTGGAGCGGAGGCCTCAATGGTATGGTCACGTTAAAAGAAGAGATGGACAATACCTGGGAAATAGAATCTCTGATATGATAGTGGAAGTTAGAAGAAGGAGGGGGAGACCAAAGAGACGCTGGAAAGATTGCGTACAAGATGATCTAAGAAGCAAAGGAATTGATCTAAATAGAGGTGAATATGAAAACCGAGGCGTTTGGAAACGGCTGACCAGGAACAGCGACCCCGTATAGAAACGGGAGAAAGCTGAGGAATAATATAAATATATATATATATATACATACACACACACACACATATATATGTATATATATATTTGTGTGTGTGTCTCTATAAATATATTTATTTATCTATCCATCTCTACACACACACACACACATATATATATATATTTATATGTGTATATATATACATATATGTGTATACAGACAGATATAGATATAGGCATGTGTGTGTCGGTCTTCTTTCGTTTAATCATCAAAACGAAATACTTCGTACGTCATTTTCATATAGAATACATGAATCTTTTTATTTTAATTACAATAAAGAGGATCATAGTACAAGCTAGAACCCTATTTTCAATAAATGAAAAAGTCTTCCAAATCAGTTGCCATATTGAGGAGGTTGAGGAGCCGTCATGTATTTTGACATCCTTGTTTAGTAAAGGCAAACATGAGTTTACCTGAACAAAAACACCATGGAAAATTAAGTAAGGATAAATCATAAAAGTTTATTTTTCTTGAAAAATCTAAATATTAAAAATGTTTTGTACAGCATAAATCAGTAAATGTGTTCCTAAAAGCTTGGGACAATTACTCACCAATAGTATCAAGAAGTTTGTTACCTTTAGATGAAATATAATGCTATTTATTCCCCACGAGATATCTTCTCTGTGTTAAAATATATTATGTATATGGATTCTCTTTTGTATATAGTCTCAAAAATACCTCAATAGATTAGTTATTATAGATATCATAGCTTTAGCATATCACACAACAGTATGGCTTCTCCTTTATATGCAATATAATATGATTCACAAGAGTTGTTTCATGTGCAGCCTTATTGCAAATATTACAGGAGTATGGTTACTTCATTGCATGTACTCTTAAATGGCTCATGTGATTATGGTTATGTGAGAATGCCTTTTAGGAAATATCGTAACTGTATGGCTTCCGCTTTCTATGTAATCTGATATGCTTTACTAGAATGTGGAGGCCACATTGTATGTACTTTGTATGTACTCTCCTATGCTTTACTAAAGAACTTTTCTCAGAGAAGGTCTTGCTGCAAAGCTCACAGCGGAATGGCTTCTCCTTTGTATGTACTCTTATGTGCTTTACTAGAGAACTTTTCTCAGAGAAGGTCTTGCTGCAAAGGTCACAGCGGAATGGCTTCTCCTTTGTATGTACTTTCATGTGTCTTACTAGATTACCTGTCTCAGAGAAGGTCTTGCTACAAATCTCACAACTGAATGGCTTCTCCTTTGTATGTACTCTCATGTGCCTTACTAGATGGCCTTTCTCATAGAAGGTCTTGCTGCAAATCTCACAGCTGAATGGCTTCTCCATTGTATGCACTCTCTTGTGCTTTACTAGAGTACCTTTCACAGAGAAGGCCTTGTTGCAAATCTCACAGCTGATGGGCTTCTCCTTTCTATGTACTCTCATGTGTCTTGCTAGATGGCCTTTCTCATAGAAGGTCTTGCTACAAATCTCACATCTGAATGGCTTCTCCTCTGTATGCACTCTCATGTGATCTACTAGAGTATCTTTCACAGAAAAGGCCTTGCTGCAAATCTCACAGCTGAATGGCTTCTCCTTTGTATGTGCTCTCATGTGCTTTACTAGAGTACATTTCTCAGAGAAGGTCTTGCTGCAAATCTCACAGCTGAAAGGCTTCTTTTTTGTGTGCACTCTCATGTGCTTTACTAGATTACCTGTCTCGGAGAAGGCCTTGCTGCAAATGTCACAGCTGAATGGCTTCTCCTTTGTATGTACTCTCATGTGCCTTGCTAAATGGCTTTTCTCATAGGTCTTACTGCAAATCTCACATCTGAATGGCTTCTCCTTTGTATGTACTCTCATGTGCTGTACTAGAATACTTTTCTCTGAGAAGGCCTTGCTGCAAATCTCACAGCTGAATGGATTATCTTTTGTTTGTACTCCCATGTGTTTTATTAGAGTACATTTCTTTGAGAAGGCCTTGCTGCAAATCTCACATCTGAATGGCTTCTCCTTTGTGTGTACTCTCATGTGTCTTGCTAGATGGCCTTTCTCATAGAAGGTCTTGCCACAAATCTCACATCTGAATGGCTTCTCCTTTGTATGTACTTTCATGTGCCTTGATAGATGGCCCTTCTCATAGAAGGTTTTGCTGCAATTCTCACATATGAATGACTTCTCCTTTGTATGTACTCTCATGTGCTTTACAAGAGTACCTTTCAGAGAGAAGGCCTTGCTGCAAATCCCACATCTGAAAGGCTTTTCCTTTGTATGCACTCTCATGTGATCTACTAGAGTACATTTCTCATAGAAGGTCTTACTGCAAATCTCACATCTGAATGGCTTCTCCTTTGTATGTACTCTCATGTGCTTTACTATAGTACTTTTTCTGAGAGAAGGCCTTGCTGCAAATCTCACAGCTGAATGGCTTCTCCTTGGTATGCACTCTCATGTGCTCTACTAGATGACCTTTATGAGAGAAGGCCTCACTGCAAATCTCACAGCTGAATGGCTTTTCCTTTGTATGCACTCTCATGTGATCTACTAGAATATCTTTCACAGAAAAGGCCTTGCTGCAAATCTCACAGCTGAACGGCCTTTCCTTTGTATGTACTCTCATGTGCTTTGCTATAGCACCTTTCTGAGAGAAGGCCTTGCAGCAAATCTTACAGCTGAATGGCTTCTCCTTTGTATGCACTCTCGTGTGCTTTACTGTAGTACCTTTCTGAGAGAAGGCCTTGCTGCAAATCTCACAGCTGAATGGCTTCTTTTTTTGTGTGAACTCTCATATCAATGTTGATATAATTCTTATGAGGAAATTTCTTGCCACATCCCTCACATACAAAACTTTTCAATTTGGCTTCCACTTTTGGTTGTGTATCCTGATTAAGAGTTTCCTTATGCATCGCCTGATCTCCATCTGATGAATTCTTATTCAGACAATTCTCAACCACAAAAGGCGTTCTTAACGTGCCTTTCCGATCCTGAACCATATTATACATGTTCTTTGCATTTCCTTCATGTCTTAGTTCATCAAAACTATGAAAGAAAAGACATTCATGTTTCACTTTCTCGTTGTTCACCCTCTCTTTGTCTGCATAATCAAACGGTTCTTCTTTAATTTCAATACAAGCATCCTCGGAAATATCTTCACTGAGCTCTTCTTTGATACTGGCTCCTGTGCCATAAATTTCCTCGTCCGTGAGTGGGGCCAGAGGCATCCAGTCGGCGAGGATACTCATCGTCATCCTGTGCATGGAATGTATGCCAAGTAATATATGCCAACTATATAATAATTTTGATACTAAAATGATCATAAATGATTTTATATTACTTAATATAACAATAACCATACTTACAATAACAAGACAATTCATTTCATAACGTATTCCCACATGTTTACTTACAGCAAAGTAATTAATAATTATGATATACATATATGTATGTAAAATAAACCCTCTTCTATCTATCTACTTATCTGTGGGTGAAATTGTTAAAAATCATGTGTAACAATACTGATACTAATATTAACAATAATGCCAATGGTAATGGTCATTTTTATCACAACAGTGCCAATACCAGTGCCAGAAACAGTAAAACTAAGAATTATTATACCAAACATTATATCAGTAATAACAATAATAATGCTAATATTCTTCATAATATAAAATATTGTAAAAATGCGGATACTTATAATACAAGTAAATAATATTGGTGATGTGATAACTATATATAAGTAACGATAAACGAGATACCGGTGTGTATATATATGTGTGTAGATAAATCTAAATATAAAAACAAATATATACATGAATAAACATCTTTATATATATTTATATATATATATATATATATATATATATATATATATATATATATATATATGCATATACAAACATAGTATGTATGTATGTATATGTGTGTGCACATAAATCAATAAATCTGTATACATCTAAATACACACACACACGCATACACAGACACATACACGCACTCACACACACAAAAACACAAACAAAGGCACACACACATCTATCTATATATATGTATACGTAATGTTGGTGCTCCTACTGGGTAATGGTTAATAGCTAAAACAAATAAATGTGCTAAAAATCAAGGTCTTATGGCCCTACTAGATGAGTATATTTTCTTGTAACAACTTACAAATATACCTATAGACATATATATAAATATATATACATGCATATACATAAATATATATATATATATATATATATATATATATATATATGCCTATACATATTTACATATATAAATATATATCATATGTTTTTGTTTTTTGTTTTTTACTGATGCTGTGTTTGGCGAATTAATTGGCACAATGTTGACATGCTGATTATTTATACTAGGGTGATTAACCAATGAGCCTTGCCCAAGGGAGTAGTTAGGTAATTTTTGGAGTTTCTCAATCCACCATGCACGCACCACTAGCGCGTGCTCATAGATATATGCGTATCTCTCTCTCTCTCTCTGTATATATATATATATATAGAGAGAGAGAGAGATAGATAGATAGATAGATATAATGTATATATAAATATATATGTATACATATACTTTTTTTACATAAATACATTTTTATGTATATAGCATAACGTGTATGTGTATATATATGTGCGTGTGTGCCTATATATATGTATTTTTTTTTTATAGTGCACACTATAATGCAGGGCTCATTATAATGGAGTGCGTATGTGTGTCCATGCAGACACAGTTCAAACGTTTTTGCATGAGTATGAGCGCGTCTGCTAGGAAGTACGCAGGCATATATGTGTGCGCGTACATGTGTGTATGTGTCCATGTGTGTGTATACAAGAGAAGCAATACACATGCACGTTTAAATTTACATATGGGACACGTATGCACATATGCAGCCATGTGTATGAAAGTATGTCTGTGCGTATTGTTATGTGTAAGAGTACATGCATGTCATGTGTGTGTTCCCCTGTTTGTACTTGATGGTATATATGTAAATAGATATGTATATTTGTGTGTATATGTATTTATATATACATACATATGTATGTGCATCTATATGAATTACATGTATAGGTGTATACATATATATGCGGGTGTACTCATAAACGTGTGCATACGCGTGTGCGTGTTCACATGTATGGTTGTATGTGTATGTATAGTCATACGTACGTGTACAAGGTGTATATGAATGTGTTCGTATGTAGGTAGGTGTGTATACATATGTACACACATGGAGGTACATGTGACGTGCGCATGTCTATGAAATTGCACGGGTGTATATATATATATTGTGTATGTGTCCATGTGTGTGTATGCAGGTATGTATGTGTGTGTACATGTTCAAGGCTATGTTTGTGTATACACAGTTATATATAAATATATATATATATATATATATATATATATATATATATATATATATATATTCGTATAGTTATGAGTACAAGATGTATATGATATTTATGTAAGTATATGCATATATGTGTGTATACATATATATATATATATATATATATATATATATATATGCTCACACTTGTGCATATGAATATATATATATATATATATATATGTGTGTGTGTGTGTGTGAGCGAGAGAGAGAATATACATGTGTAAATACGTATAAATATATACACATATTGATAGAAGGATAGATATAGTATGTATAGTTTATGTATATTAACACACATATACACACAAACACACATATACATTATATATATATATATATATATATATATATATATACATTATATATACTTTATGTATATGTATATGTGTATATATATATACATTATGTATACTTTATGTATATGTATATGTATATATATATATATATATATATATATATATATGTAAATATACATTATGTATACTTTATATATGTATATATAAATATATGAATATATATTAAATATATTATATATATACTATATACATGCATACATATATGTATATGTATGCATGTACTATATACACACACATACTATATATGTGTGTGTATGGATAAATAAGTGTAGATATTTACACATGTATATATATGTATATATAGTGATAGAAAGGCAGATATAGTATGCATTGTATATATGATATAATATATATATTTTTTATACATAATACATATTGATATATAAATTTATGAATATATATGTATACAGTAAATATGTTCACTTAAATACATTCTGCGTATTTGTATGCATGAATATATGAATCAGAACGAAATACCTGAACTAATTATCCCATGACCTTACCTTATTTCTTCACACACTCTCTGTCCCGGTAAATTCGTCTCAGCTGAGTGACCGCGCATATGTATATATATTCACATATACATATATATGCATACATATACATGCGTCTATACGCAAATATATACAGATGTATACGTATGTACATCTGTATATATTTGCGTATATACACAAATATATACATGTGTATACATATGAACACAAATATATACATATAAATATCTATACACACACATATATAATCATGTTTTTAAAAAATGTATACATATGAACACAAATATATACATATAAATAACTATACACACACATATATAATCATGTTTTTAAAAACAGATTTACTTTTGTTATTAGTTACTTTGATCAGTCAATCAATCATTTGGAGCTAACGCCGGCAGGGGCGCATAGCCGCATCCACCCCTCGCTTCCACCTGCGAGGGTCTCTCATAGCGAACCGCCAGGCAGGGGCCCGGCCTATCTCTAGTTCCTCTCGACAGGTTTGATCGATCTGCCCAAGCCACGACCTTCTTGGTCGTCCCACAGGCCTCCTCCACCCAGGGTTGTCACGGACAGACAACCTGGTGGGCAGGGTCATCCTGCAGGAGTCGAGCCAAGTGGCCGTATAGCATGAGTTGGCGATCATGGATTATGCAAGTAACAGGTCCTGTGCCAGTCTCCCGGTGCAACCATTGGTTGGACACATGGTCCCGCCATGATCCGGCACAAGAAGCTTGAAAACACGCAACTTGGTCATTCTGCACAGGTACCGGCATTTCCAAATGCTCGTGTCGAGAGATTTCATAACCCCTGCTGCCAGGCCAATCTGTCAACTGACTTCCTGGTCTGACAGACCAGAGTTGTGAACTGCACTACCGAGGTATATAAAGCTCTTGGTAACTTCAATGTTTTCACCGCAAGCATGTACCAACTGCACAGGGTCTCCTAGTAGGCCTCCAAAATCCTGGATCTTGGTCTTGGTCCAGGAGACCTTTAGCCCCAGGGGCTCCTCTTCATTGCTAAATGCATCAAGAGCCGCCACTAGGGTTTCCAGAAATTCAGATAGAATGGCAACATCATCAGCAAAGTCAAGGTCAGTAACCTTGATATTGCCCAGAGTTGCTCCACAGTGACTTTGGACAGTAGCTCTACCCAGTATCCAATCCATGCAAGTGTTGAAAGGTGTTGGTGCAAGAACACAGCCTTGCCTCACCCCTGCACTAACAGGGAAGAAGCTCAACAGGCCCCCACCACACTTTACAGCACTTTTAGTGCCTGTATACAGGTTTGCTATTAATCCAACAATCCTTGTTGGAATTCCTCTTAGACTCAGGATCTCCCAGAGTGATTCGCGATGTACTGTATCAAACGCCTTCATAAGGTTGATGTAGGCTGCATGCAGCCCACGACCGAACTCACGACGGCACTCAACAATGACTCGAAGCGCCAGGATGAAGTCTATTGTTGACTTACCAGGAGTGAATCCCGATTGCTCCGGCCTTTGGTGCTTCAGCAGGTGGTCTCTGATACATCTCAGTAAGATGTGTGCGAGTGCCTTGCCCGGTATACTGAGCAGTGTAATGCCTCGGTGATTGCTGCAGTCCCACCAATAGTGTCCTAGTCCTATGCGCCAGAGACCAATGCAAGTTGTGATCCCGACAATCGAGCCACACGACAAGCATCTGTGGCTTCCAGTGTCTCCTGCGAGATGGAACTCTGTCTTGCTCTTGGGCGTTCACCAACTGATTCATGGGCTGCCTCAAATGTTTCATGCTTGAAGGTGTCCCACAGAAGGACAGGGTCTGTCAGGCCCTCAATTGCTGTGAAACGACCAGAGACAGCCTCGGCAAACCCCTCAATCTGTCAAAGCGAAACACCCTAGGGTGTTCACTTGGGCGACGGGGGGTTTTAAAGTAGCCACAACTAATCTATGATCAGTTCCACAGAACTCGGCACTTTGATACACTCTGCAGTTCTGGAGGATCCTCCAACAAGTGTTAACAAGTATGTGGTCGATCTCCTTGGCCACACTACCCATATCACAGTACCATGTCCAATGATGCGGGTCAGAGTGCTGATACCAGGAGCCAGAAATCCTCAATTTCTGGGACCTAGCAAATTCACAGAAAAGGAGGCTATTCTCACAGCCAGCATCAGCTCCTGAGCCATATGAGCCATAAGGACAACAGACATCTCGTAGCCAGCTTGATTGCAGCCAGATACCGCATTGAAGTCACCCAGAACAATACGAATATCTCACCGAGGACAACTGTCTGTCACAGATGCAAGTCTGGCGTAAAACATCTCTTTCACCTCAAGCTTATATACATCGGTAGGAGCATACACAGCAATAAGAGACCTGAAACCAAATGAAAGCTTTAGTCTCAATACCATAATACGCTCATCGACTGGAGTGACCTCTACTACCAAGGGTTGAAGTCGGCTGCAGATGGCTATGGCTACTCCCTGGAGATGGTAGCCATCGCTACTGCCTGACCAGTAATAGTTGTAACCACCCACACTAATCGTGCCGCTGCCAGGTCTCCTCACCTCCGAGAGAGCAACTGCTTCAATTCCCTCGACAGTAGTGGTAACCGATCGTCATGTCGCAAGGAACAGACGTTCCAAGCCCCTACCCGGACAGCCCGCCTGAGGTCTAACCTCAGGCAGTCACTCCGGGTGGGTGCCACCTCTGCCACCCCTACCGACGCCGCCCCAAATAGACAAGGTTGGCTGGCTGCAGGTCCCATAATCCGCCTGCAGGGCCCCCGGGGGCTTTCCCCCACAAGCTTCATGCCAGGCTGGCGGCCGCCCCCACCCCAGTCCCAGCGGTCGCCAACCCAGAGGGACCCACAGCCTGCCTTACTTGCTGGGTGAGAAGGACTTTTGTCCTCCCCCCAGCACCACCAACTAGGTGATTTGGTACCAATATGGTTCTCTCGGGGGGGCAGACTGCCCATTAACCCCAGGGGGCACAGGGGCAGGAGTTGGTATGAAGTCAGGGCGTGTCCACATGCCGATGGGCCATTACTCCGTACCTTTAGGGCCTCCACAGTTCAGCCTAGGACCGCAAGGTACCTAGTTTCCATGGGTGGCCATGAGGAGGCACTGAAGAAGTGGAGAGGCTATGAGCTGGCAGGGGAGTCTTATGCATAGCTGCTCCATTTTCGCACCAGGCTAGCCAGCGATGGCAGCTGTAAGCGAGAAGGCATGCAAGCACTTAACACTATCTAGGCTACCACACCATCGCTTCACATCACCCTGCGCATGAAGCACCCACCCATTATGGAAATTATCACTATACCAACTATTTTCATTACTACTATTATGATAATCATTACTATGATAGATCTTATCACTAATGCTATTATTGACATCATGGTTTCTTATGTTATTTCATTAAAGTAATTAATACACATTTTGATATTAATATAATAGTTATTGTTAACAGTATAAACATTACCATTATTAGTAACATAATTAATGTTTTCATTATCATTACAGTTATTATTAATATAATTATTATTAATAATTATCATTATTTATTATTATTATTATTATCATTATTATTTATTATTATTATTATTATTGTCATCATTATCATTATTATCATTATCATTATTATCACTTCAATAACGAATGATCAGAATCATCGTCACCATAATCTTTACCATTTCACCATAGTCAATAATTTCAATAATATTACTAATGTTTTTAATCACAAACATTAACACAATAGTTACCATCCGTATTAAAAGGTATCGCCAGTGATGCAGTTGCCATTATTATTATCATTATCAATTGTATTATCATTAAGATTTCAACTATACTCAGGATTATTAATATTCTTAATAGATAAAATCTTAATTTTATCATGATTTTATGGCCATTATTATTATTTCTATATTCATGAAATTATCATTATCATCATTGCTATTACAATTACCAATATTAGTATCGTTACTATTACAAGTATCAATATTAGTGTCATCACCTACTGTCATGTTTACCGTCATGAATTTCATATTGATTTCCCCCTTTTATTATGATGTCATAATCTTTGTTTAATGCTCTTTTTCATTGTATGATAAATGTATTGTATAATAATGTGTGTGTATATATATATATATATATATACATATATATGTGTGTGTGTGTGTGTTTGTGTGTGTGCGTGCGTGTGTGTGTTTGCTCTTTTTCATTGTATAATAATGTGTGTGTGTATGTGTGTCTGTGTGTGTGTGCGCGCTCTTTTTCATTGTATAATAATGTGTGTGTGTGTGTGTACGTGTGTGTGTGCAAATGTGTGCGTGCGTGCATTTGTGTATGTGTGTGTGAGTGCGCGCGCGGGTCTGTGCGTGCACTTGTGTGTGTGCGCGTTTTTATATTGTATAATGTGTGTGTGAGTGTGTGTGTGTGTGTGTGTGTGTGTGTGTGTGTGTGTGTGTGTGTGTGGTGTGTGTGTGTGATGTGAGTGAGTGGTGTGTGCGTGCTCTATTTTATTGTATAATAATTATTACTATTATTATTATTATCATCATAATCATTATTAATATCATTATCATAATTGTTATCATTACCATTATTATTACTGTTATTGTTATTATTATTATTATTACCATTATTAGTGAATGTTCTAATAGCAAAGTTAATAATGTTCATGGTTATGATAATGACACTAATAATGATAACAATAATGATATAGATAATAGCATGAAGATGATAATAATAATAATAATGGCAAATAAAAAATCAATAAAATAATAATAGAAATAGCAATAACATAATAATAACTGCTACAAAATTATGATAGATATAATATGTAATACCAAAATTATAATACTAAAAATGCAATGTACATAATAATACTAACATAAGTTAGGATGATAATCTAAACAATAATAATAACATAATTAATGACGACCTTGTGATTCATATAAATAATAGAGGTAAGAAAATTAATAAAAGTTATAACAACAACATTAGTAGTAATAACAGAAGTGCTAATATTTATAACAACGGGAATAATAATGATAATAGTAATGATATTCTTAACATTAAAATTCTTAGTATTAATGAAAGAAATAATAACAATATATGGCAATCAATGACATTTATTTTCTAGTTCAATATTTATACTATTTTCCTTTTTAAAGAAAGATAATTTATCATCCTTTCATTTCAAATATTTATTCATTATATACATATATGTACTACAAAATAATATATATATCATATATATATATATAAATATATATATATATATATATATATATATATATATATATATATATATATATATAAACATAGGGTATTTAGTTATATATCAAAATACAGTATTCATGTTCATATGTATATAAAATTAACTGTTCTACAGACTGATAGATGGATAGGTATCTATCTATGTATCTCTACATATCTATGTCTATATATCTATATCTATCTATCTATCTATATATTTAATATATACACATGTGGAATGTATGTGTGTGTGTGTGTGAACACTGGGTAGTTAGTTAAATATCAAGACACATTATTCATGTCCATACGTATTTAGAATTCACACAGAGTTCTACAGCCTGATACATGGCTAGGCATCTATCAATCTATCTATTTATTTATCTATATGCATACCTATAAATACGTCTGTGAACGGAATATACTAAATCTCCCTTGACCTTACCTTATGAAAAGTTCCTTTCTTGTATAAATACAATGTGCTCTTGTTTTGCATACAGGCTATAATCATTTTGAATTTTCTTTTTTGTATTCACTATTACAGGATGTAAGTACAATTCCTTATAAGTAAAACTCTCTGATTTCCCCTTTTTTATATTAGTATGCAGTTTTTTTCTTTAAGTGTGAAAGTGCTCTAGTTAAATATATTGCATTGTAAGTAAACCTCTTATAATAATGCTTATAATAATGTATATAATAATAATAATACTTATAATGATAATAATGCTGATATGATAATAATAATGATAATAATGTTTATAATAATAATTATAATAATAATAATAATAATAACAATAATGCTTATAATAACAATATTAATAACTATAATAATAATAATTATTAATATAGTAATAATGAACAATGATAATAATAATAATACTTATATTAATAATAATGCTTATAATTATAATACTACTACTAATAATAATGCTTATAATAATAATAATAATGATAATAATAATAATGCTCATAATAACGCTTACCTTCAGACTGCTTATCGACCACACATGGGTCCTTGCACAGTAATGCAGCTTCGAGTCCAGGATTATCGCAGTGCCAGCTTCCCCCTGCTTTTCCTCTGCCCCTATAAGGAAGGAAAGTGAAAATCGTGATATCCGTCACACTGATTGTCATTCTAGTTGTCATGATTAAATGGCTATGACATAACTTTTTGGAAAAGAAAATGTGCTCAATGATAATAACAATAATAAAAAGTATAATAAAAAGAGAGAGAGAGAGAGAGAAATTGCGTGAATGCGATATCATTTGCTCCTTTATTCCAATATTAATCGCCAGAATGTCTAATTATATAGATTATCATTTGCGTATTATTATTATATGATTAATATTATTAGCTGATTATTATCATAATTATAATATTCCTATTATGATTATATTATTATTATTCACTTATTATTACATTATTATCATTATTATTATTATATTCTTATTCTTATTATATTATTTGCTTATAATGCTTATATTCCCCAGGACACGTCAATGGCTGTCATCGATGTGTTTCTGCACAGTTGGCTTTCTTGGCCTGAGAGAGAGTGGGAGAATATAGAACATCCAGTGACAATGTTGAGCTGTACGATCCGTGAGACGTGGCTGGTTGAGCACTCGTTCCACTGGGGATGATAAAGATATGCACAAGATCCTACTCCTGCCCTACCATGACAGGCATAACGGGAAGAAGACATGACAGGTTATGATGTGGAGTCTGCAAGGAAAACAATCTATTACCACCTCAATATAACCTATCATAAGACAAGACATTGCAAAGCGAACAAGCAAGCAAAAAATGCTTAAGCAAGAAAAGAAACAATACCATTATGTATATATATATATATATAATTATATATATATAATATATATATATGTATATATAATCTATATATATATAAATATATATATATATATATAATATATATATATATATATATAATATATATATATATATATATATATATATATATATATAATCACATATATTTATACATAAATTTTTTATATATTCATATATATATATATATATATATATATATATATCTATATATATATATATAATTTGTATATCTATATATATTCAAACATATTTATATATATATATATATATATATATATATATATATATATTTTCATATATAAATATATATATTTATATATATAAATATAAACATATATATATATATTTATGTATATACACATTTATATATATGTATACATATACTTATATATACATATATTTACACACACACACATGTATATATATATATATATATATATATAGATATATATATATTTATATATATAATTACATGAATGAGGAAAACACTCTACCGTGTTGATACTATGGTAGAAAAACCCACAATGTAAAAACTAGATTTATTGAAAATGAAAGTGAGGCGACAGTTTCGGAATCCACCTGGATTCCATCCTCAGGTCTGAAGAGGAAAGGGAGAGGAAGGGGTATAAGAGGGAGAGAGGACAGGCCACGCGCGACACGGGCAGGTGAGGACAAAGGACGGAAGCGAAGGCGAGGTCAGATCAGGTTCGGAGGGCGGGGCGGATTGGTGCAGGAGGCCGGCGTCACTGGAGAAGGCGGAGGATGTGTGAAGCTGAGGGAAGCTGTCGGCGGGAGAGAAAAGCCGCCTGTTCAAGTTAAAAGTAGGCAACAGCTTTATAAGAAGAATTCCACCAGTCTGCTGGGCCCGTGGACGTCAGTGGAGTGGGAAGACATTCGCGCCGCTGAACAGTCCATCTGATGGCCTGTATCCCACATGATGGCAGTAAGAGAGCGTTGTTGTTGTGTCCATGGATATAGCATACTATGTTGTAGACAAGCGCTTAGTGAGACTAGCGCCATCTCGCCCAATTATGCTTGTCACAGGAGCCACAAGGAACAGCATTTAGGTGCCCACCTTCGAGAAGTGGAGGGAAGGGCTGGTGTGGACCAGGTTTACGATGGAGAGTGGTCACCGGCGAAAAGACCAGCCTGCCAATTGACGAGTGTGAAGAGGGCGGCAGAGAGAGTGGATCTCCTCGGTTGTAGGGCAGGCTGAGGGTGGTGCAGGTGAGGAGGTCTCTTTAGGAGAGGACTCGTTGGTAGAAGTGTCCACCGTGGCTCTGGATTAGGAGGGCTTCGAGGAAATAACGAGGGTAGCTCCAGTTTGGAGAACGACACGTACAGAAAGCGATCTCTCCAGCAGTTACTGAGGGTCACAGATGAGGAGAGGGGCGGCAGAGAACAGCAAACGTGGAACACCTCTCTTTACATGAAGAGGATGAGTAAGAGAAAGAAATGTATATACATACCACTATGCATGGGCTTTCTGTATATGGAGAAGGAGGAAGTGGTCAACAGAGCGATGAAACTAGGGTGTCCAGGAAGGGGAGCTTGTTGTCAGCCTCCATTCACCTTGCAAACGGATGGAAGGGGAGAGAGAGTCAGCTGGGTTAGGAAGTCCGAGAACAGGGCAGGGTCATGAGGCCAGAGAGCGAAGACGTCGTCAAACATACCTCAGCCAAACCGTTCGACGAAGGGAGATGGAAGGGAGAAGCAGATCGAAAGAATTCCATAAAACAGGTTTAGCCCAAGACCGGTATGAGGGAGAGAGGGGAGAGCCCATGCAACACCGAAAGGTCTGGGAGTAGAAGCGGACCCCTTAAAGGAAAAAGGAGTTCGATTCCACAACGGACGAAATCAGCTGGAGGAGAGTCGGTGGGCAGAGGGAGACGGATCCTCTGGGGAGGCTTCGTCTCAAGGAAAGCGAGGACGTCAACTAGCGGGACCTTGGTGAACAGGAAGTCGACATCCAAAGCTCATCATGGTCGCCCGGCGGGGAAACCCCGGACCCAGGAGATGAAGTCCTGGGACTGACGGAGGTGAGCAGGAGAGAAGTGACGAGAAGAGGAGTGAGAGACTTTCGCCAGCCAGGCGCTAGGAGGGTGCGTCACAGATCCCCGGGAAGAGATAAATGGGGCACAGGGGCACGGCCGGCTTATGTGTTTTAGGAAGACCATAGAAGTGAGGGAGTGCGAGGGTTGATGGACCTGAACCTCTGGAGATAGAGGTCGCCTTTGGGACACGAGAAGCTATTGCCTTCAGGCGACGGTTGGAAAGTGGAAGCCAATGCGTTAACGGGGGTCGCTGGTTCAGGGAGTATAGGTGGAAGCATCATCCAGCAGGTCCCGGGCCTTTGGGCAAGTAGGATGGCCGGTCCGAAGACCACACCGAGTTGCCCTTGTCAGAAGGCAAAAATGGTGATATCTCACTGCGCAGGCTTTGAAGGGCCCACGTGCTAAAGCCTGGGGATGGAGCAAAGGGTTGGATGAGGAGAGATTCGAGGGCCGAGTATGAAGGCACACGAAGGAGAGAGACATCGGGCAAGAGTTCCTATGAGAAGAGATGAACCGGTCAAAGGAGAAATAATGTCGATGGAGGTAGGGGGTGAGGGCGGAGAGCAAAGGAAAGACGAAGCCAAGGAGTTGCTGCTGGTGGGCGGTCAAGGTCAGGGAAGATAGTGGTGACAGTGTCGCTGTGAGGGAAGAAGCGGGACAAAGGACTGTGGGTCGTGGGCTGGAGAGTTTCGGCGAGAGGGAGTGGCGCGGGTGAGGGAGAGGGTCGGGACGGAATCGTGGGGCGATGTCGGCTAGGAGCTGGAAAACTGACTCCTTTCAGGAAGTCATGAATGTACCCGTGAACGGTAGAAGAAGGAAGGAAGCACTGCTCCTCGAGGCAAGTCGCGGGGAAACGAAGTTAATTCTTCCGTCGGGCCATGGCGACGACAGATCCTCAGAAGCCGAAGGCAGGAACCAAAGTCAGAAGGAGGCAATCAGGACGACAGGAGATTTCTTTTAACGTGGGATCCATGATGAATGAGCTATGGTAGAAAACAACCAACAATGTAAAAAACTAGATTTATTGAAATGAAAGTGAGAGACAGTTTCGGAATCCACCTGGATTCCACCCCTCAGGTTCGGAAAGAGGAAAGGGGAGAGGAAGGGTTATAGAGGGATCGAGGACAGGCCACGCGGCGGACACGGCAAGGTGAGGACAGACGGACGGAAGCGAAGGGAGGTCAGATCAGGCGGAGGTTCGGGCGCGATTGTGGCAGGAGGGCCAGCGTACGGGAGAAGGCAGAGGATTGTGTGAAGCGAGGAGGATGTCGGCGGGAGAAAAGCCGCTGTTCAAGTTAACAATTGAGGAGATCCACTCTCTCCGCCGCCCTCTTCACACGCTTCAGTTGCAGGGCTGGTCTTTCGCCAGGTGAACTCCTCTTCATTCGTAACCTAGTCACACACAAGATATATATATATCTATATATAATATATATAGAAAATATATATGTAATAATGAATATCTTATTCTAATTATGTAAATATAATTTGTTATAAAAAACAATAATATATGCAATTATATATATTAGATATAATATATATAATATTCATATATTTATATATTTATATATTATATATAATATATATATATATATATTTATATTCCATATATATATATATTTATATTTATATTATTATATATATATTATATAAATATATATATAATATATACATGTAACTGTTATAAAGATATGCATATATCTATATATGTATAATATTTTTCATATACTAATAATATATATATATATATATAAAATATATTATATCTATATATACCTATATGGAAATTAGTATAAAAAGTATGTATGTATATATATATTTTATATATGTGGTATAACTACATATCACACACACATATAATATATATATATATTATGTCTCTATATATATAAAACCTCATAGAACATATATATATATATATATATATATATATATATAAACATACATAGAAACATATATATGTATATAAGCATACATAGAAACATATATATATATATATATATATATATATAAATATAAATATACATAGAAATATATACACACACACACACACACACACATATATATATATATACGCATATATATGAATATATATATATATATATATATATATATATATATATATAAATTTATATAAGTAAATATGTATATGAATATATATATATATATATATATATATATATATATATATATATATATATATATGAATATGAATTTATGTATATATAAATATATATATAAATATATATGAATATATATATATATATATATATATATATATAT